TATATATATATATATATATATATATATATATATATATAGATGCCAAAAAAAAACAACAACTCCCAAATAACTTACAGTTCACTCACTGAAAAAAAAAAGATAAAAAATTTGTAAGGAAAGTGGTTGCAAACAATTTATTTTAGCTACATTAACAAAAAAATGTTGACAGTCAACTAAATTTATTTAAATGTAGCTAAAATTGATTGCAACCCCTTACCTTAAATTTTTTTTTTTAGTAAATCCAATTAATAATTTTCAGCGTGTTATGGATTGTGGATAATTAATGTTTAAACACTAGCAATTTCAATTCTTCAAATATTGCGTTGGAGAGTAGAGGGGCCTTTAAGGGTCTTTGCCATGACATTATGTTGACATCAGTGTATGAATGCATTTATATCACGACTGCCCTCTGTGTAGGGCTACTGTTCTACACCCGGGTGAAATCTTGGCTAAGAATGCATGAAGGCAGAGGACAAATATCAATTTCAACTATGAATGCCAGCAGATGCACAGACCCCAAACACATGATCACACCATGTTGGTATGTATGGGCCCTGTGCCAAACCCACACTTCGATCATGCTTCTGTATGCATATGCAAGAAGTTTTTAGGTTTGAAAACGAATAATAATTCATAATTATGGTGTCTAACCCACCACAGTAAATTCATTAGTTTCACGATGGTGGGGAAATAAGTTTGGATGTCACTACATGGGATTCCACATTCTTGTACTAACTTTGGGCTTACTGTTAACATAAACGTAATAAAAAAATAAAGGGGTTGGTCACACTGCACTTTTCGTTCCATCACAAAAAGGCAACTCCCCACAAAATGTGTGTGAGGTGATTTGTTCGCTATGGCCGACCTTCAATGCAAAATATCTTTTCTTAATCAGTATTTTTGTGGTTTACTAGTAGAAATATCTAAACATCTCTAACATGAGAAGCAAAACGGCATACATTTTTCTCTATGCCTGTAATTGATTTCTTTATCATGTTATAATTTACGACCTTTAGCGGCCATCAAGAGATAAAAAAAATAATTCATTACATTTACATAGCGCTTTTCTAGGCACTCAAAGCGCTTTACATTGTCAGGGGGTATCTCCTCATCCACCACCAGTGTGCAGCATCCACCTGGATGATGCGAC